AACCTTAGTGATTCTGTGATTCTGTAATATAGGCCTTTATGAGAGTCATGCAGTTTGTATATGCGTTTGAAATTCATATAGTTACTATTTTCAAGCAGTAGCACCAGCTGTAATGATCATGACAAAGGAGAACACAGCATAGCAGCCATACTAAGGCAAAACTATGACGATTTAGTTAAAACTAGATTAAGCCTGGGTTGAAAGAAGTGCCAAGTTCTTCTGGCAGCACAAAGGATCAGTCCATGATTTTATTCTAACCTTTATATAGTGTTGTAAATAAGAAATACCTTTCTAATGAAAAATAAAATAACTTATGTGTTCAAAAAACAAAAGAAAGTGTTTTCATTTTCTTTTTTCTTCATAAATCATGAAATAATCAGAACTGGGGAGCTGTGAAAGAAGGCTTGAAGAACAGCCAGATACAAAACTTTCTGTATTCAGTGGATAAATTTGTGGGTACTTTGTCATCATCAAGACAGAATATAGAAAATAAAATTCAGCTCACAAAAGTGGATATTGATATTTATGTCAGCAACTTACAGAACCCATCCGACTACATAACTGCAGGTGAGTAATTCCTACAGCAAAGCAAACACAATGATGCTGTTTATAAAAGAAATTTTATGTCATTAGTAAAAATTTACCTTGAATCATTAATTCATCTTCCCTGAGCTATATATGTTTTTCTGCTTACTTTCACCAGGTTTCTGACTGTGTAATCATAAAATCACCAATCATTTGCCCAACCTTTAATTCATAGATCTTAAAGGACTAGGTAGTTACTTGACATATCACATATGCAGTGGCCTATGTTCTTCCTAGTTTGCTTCCCAAGTCATTGCAGCGTGAAGTCATATACTAGTGTGTATAGAGTATACTCTTCACTGTCTTTGACGCTGGGGAAATCCTGTCCAATATTAAGTCTGGTTCTGAGGGCCGTGAGTCAAAACAAGATGTATTTATAAAATTTTTTATATATACATATATATATATATGTAAGAAAAAGAGTGGTTATGTCTCTTTGAACAATAGCTTTCCACCATTTCTTATCACCACATGGGTTTTCAGAGTGAAATAATGCCAAACTAGTCAATAGTTTTGCAATCCTTCTCAACCCTACATGAGCCTGTGGGAGGACAACCTCCACAGAATAGAACCATAGAATCTTTGGGTTGAAAAGGACCTTGAAAGGTCATCTAGTCCAACCCCCCTGCAATGAGCCGTGACATCTTCAACCGG